ATTCACAAATAAAATTGACAAAACATATACATATACTCGGTGCATGCACATGCATTATATACAACATGATCCTTTAAAATGCCCTTTAAGCACTACCATATGGTTGTGAGTGCTACAAAATATGCATTTCTATCAAGTTAAGCAAAACTCTAGTTCACAGCCAAATTTTCAATGATCTCAAAATGCATCTGCAGACTAGGAGGCCTATCAGCAAAGTAAAATCTTTCACAAACTTCCAATTTCCCTCCACTCTTTTCAGCTTCTGTACCAAGCAGCTGAACCATTTTGTCCTTTTCCTTCCGAATCCAAACTCGCCTGCTATCACACCACTGTCTGGGGGTTCCATGAAGGACAAAAAGAATTCCAGAGGCTCCTTGAATAAGGCGCTTGGTGATTTTCTCTATCACATCATGGTCATTGAGATATGCACCGGCGGAATTTAAGCCAACATCCACGTAATGGATTTCAGTTATGCTGTTTAAGAGGTTTTCTTTTGAACATGGTACAATGTGATCCTCTTCATGGACGTTAGTCACTCCTCCATTCATTAGCCGTTTATCAAAATGGGCTGGATTTTTTGTGGATTTGACTTCTGAGAAGCCAAGCTCAGTTAATAACTGGTTAAGGACAGTACCACCCTTGCTAAATCCAAGGATTAACGTGTTGGGAGTACACTTCGATGATGCAGAAACTTCAGATCGATTTGGTTCTTTCCGTCCCCCTGAAATGACATGTTTTGCCTGTGACAGTAACAAATATCAGGTTCATAAATATAATTGCAGGCCAGGAGAATTTGGCAAATGCATTGTGAAAATGTCGGCTGTAATGATGAAGATAAAAATTCTGCATGAATTCACAGAAACACTCCACAAAATATAAGAATAACTTAAATACATGAACACCAATTTATGAGGAGACTATGTTGATGGTGAAGATGTGTATCTATTCTCCCCTTTAAACGAGCTGATATGTAGACACTATTCATTTTGATAGACTTTTCAACTAGATGCAAGAAGTTAGTTACACATCCCTTTCAAAAGATTTGCTTAAAGCTGCGGCCATTTAAATGACAAAAAATCACAGATTTAATATAATGTCCATGCAGTCATATCAATAACACATAATGCAATGACTCTGATCTACGACACAACTAAAAGTAACAGCTGCAGGATTTTGCTATATGGATGAAGTGTTCATATCAAATGAATGCCACTATCTCCATGAAACTCTCGAGGCCTAATTTAATAAGAAACTCTATATGTTCCTTCTTCACAAACTCATAGCACCTCATTGAGCAAAAATAACCAAAAAGGATTCACATAGCTCAGACCAAAGTACAAAACATGGCCAAGCTCTCTACGTTCTTTATGAATCTCTCTCTTTGCAAACATGAAGTTTTCCCTGATACATATTAGAAAGAAAGTGCATATACAAAGCCTTAAAAAGTAATTCTGCTCAATCCAGTAATATCATGTTTCCTCAGCTCACCAAATCAGAAATCATGATTCCTACCCAAGCAAAATCAGTTAGAAGTGATGTACAGGTACAATTGATAAGAAATTGTTAATTGTCCATTGGTAACAAATTAAATAACTAGCATATGATGCAAGTACATTTTCTACTCAACCTATTTTGTGAAAGTTTCAGAAACACAATCTATAAAAAATATACACGAAAATAGAGACTGGTTAGCAAATATACCTGTTTAAGGCAATTTGATAAGAGTGAGACAGTGGACGTAGAAGCTGGGAATCCAGTTGGTTTGTAAGATTTTGGTTCTCCGCTCTCATTTACAGATGGGATAAAATCCTTGTAAACAGCAAAAGGCCCATTGAAAGTAGAAGACTCAATAACCCACACATTAATAGAACCACCAATTTTCGAAACCATAATTTCAGCAATTTTCTGTAGATCTGATAGCCTCTCAATCACTGGATTGCCAGTAAATCCAACTCGATCTCCATTGAAGAAGATGGCATTTGCAGAAGGTTCCTGCTCTCATGTGGAAATAAAAATCCCAATCAGGGAATCTTCAAACGGATTACTTTTGCAATTTCTAGATATGCATAAGTTTGATTGTTTACTGGTCCTGCTTGTCATTGGGAGTTCTTGACAGATAAAAATGATGTTTCTGGAGAATGCAGTCAGCAGATTTGGGGTTTAAAACGGAAGTCAATTGTAAATCATGATTCTTTTTAGCATTGAAGTAACAAGAACTTACAATTAGAGTTTTGGAAGATAATGAGAGGCATAGAGAAGCTGCAACTTTATAGTGAGCCCTGCTATTAGGGTACAATGGGACCTTCAAAATTCCGCTCCAACGATCCATCAATTAACAAACTGTAATGACATATTTGAGAGCATACTTTATAAGGCTGGTAGAATCATGTTCATTCTTAACCAACATAATTTTTTGTTTTTTTTCATTTTTTGATTGAAACAATATTTGTTTTAATCTTCTACTCTAGTTCTTCAGCTTAGATTGTCCAAAACTATTGTCAAAGTGAGTCAAATCCTCACTTAATAAAAAGGATCAAACAAATAATAATCCAAAGCATAACCCATAACATGATCAACCGAAATGGTGTTCGATGTATCCATAATATAACTAATTTAAAAACCCACCTCTTGGAGCATATAAAGAAAAGTACCACAAAATTATCAGCTGGGCATTATAACAAACATCTCATGAACTTGAAGAAACTACGTTTCTGATTCGAAGCACGTATTTCGAATTTAATGGGAGTCTGTTGAACTGAACATATATGTTTAACTCGACCAAATCAGAGGAGGGGTGTGTCGTAATAGAGAGAAATTGTTTACATTTCACTTACCTTAGCTGAATCAAAACGAGGGGTCACTGTACGCCCGCCAGAGGGCAAGGGAGCGAGAAGAGAGAGAGAGAGAGAGAGAGAGCGAGGTAAACGAGTTCTGTTACAATGAGAAGGCTCGATTCGGGTCGCTTGGGAACCGAACAGGTATGGCTTGGGTCGAAAAAATTAATTAGATTAAAAAATTATTTTATTATTTAAAATAAAAGAAAATTATAATTAATTATATTTTATGTATGTAATTAATTAGGGTGAAAAAATTATAAGATTAAAAAATTATTTTATTATTTAAAATAAAAGAAAATTATAATTTTTTTTATTGTCCAAATTATTCTTAATTATATTAATTTGGTCTAAAAAAAAATATGTATGATAAATTTATAATTAAGCATTAATTTTTTTTAAAAAAAAAATTAACTCTTAACCTAGTTTTGGGACAAAGATAGACTTGAAATCAGATTTATGGATCAGATTGTACGGTTAGTCTAATTTATACTAAACTTTTTAAAAATTAATAACTAATTATTCTTAATTATATTAACTTGATTTAAAGAAAAAAATAGCTCCTAACCCAGTTAGTTTGGGACAAGGATCGACCTTAACTTAGATCTCTGAACTAGATTATATAGTTAGTCTAAGTCATATCAATTTTTTTTCAAAATTAATAACTAATTAAATATTGTTAAAAAAATAAAGGTAAAATGAAAAGTTAGGTTATTGATTTTAACTTTCTTATTTTTTTTTTGTTTTTTGTGACAAAATATAAGCAAATTTTAAAAATTTTATCTTTCNACTTCATTTGATCTCGTTTGGGATTGAAGTTAGCAGTGGGATTTTGGATTTTTTTTTGAGATTTTCTTTAGGGTTTTTAGTGAAGATAAGGGTGAGGACTCAGAAGGGGTACATATAGGGGTTTTGGGGACTGTTTATGGAGGAGGGTATNATGAAATTATATAAACAATGATTTAATTTATAGAAAAATTTTATCCACACCCCAGTTGATTGTCCTATCTTTAAGAACACCCCTTGCATTATTTAAATATCAATATAATAATTCTATAAACATATGACGAAGATATGACAAACTTTGGAATATTCCATTCCAGTGTCAAATGGAACGACATTATGCCCAAATTTTATACTTGTTTTTGGTTAGTTTTGCTAAATTTTACTATTAGTGTGCCAAAATTGTAAAAGAAAATAAAAATAATTCTCATCTTGATGCTTTTTAAAATATAGCTAGAGAGAAGAAAATGTAGAAATAAACTAAATATCATTTGCTCAATAAGCTTCATACATCCCAACAAAGAAAGCTACATAAGTCATATGAATGTATTATTACAAAGCCTGCACAAGGGAATTATTATTTACTAACTCCTCCTTGTAAGGAAACATAATTAGGCAGAGGAGATCCATGACATAACTCCCTTTGCATTATTTCTGGCCGATCAGCTCCATTTTCAGTTTATACTGCAAGAGGAGACACAAGTAATTAACATACAATTAATTTTCAGAGGCATAGAGGTGCATCCGAAACCAATCCGAGTATTATAGACTATTTAGGCTCGCGTTCGACTCATATTTTTCAAAAAATAACTCGGGATTCTGAAGAATAAGATTGTTTAAGCTTGTCTCACAATTTTTTTCCGAACTCAAGCTTGGCTCGACTATGCTTGTTTGATAAAATGAATCAAAGCTAGAAATTGTGATCTAGTTTAAACTCAAGTTCAGATTCATACTCAAAATCAAGTTTAATTCGTTAAATTTTTCCAAACACAGGCTCAAATCCGTTTGTTTGATAATCCAGGCCGAGCTTGAACTTGTGTTCTTGTTTAAACTAAAGTTCAGAGCTGTGTACATATAAGGCTAGACAAGCCAAACAAATCATTACTCGGGCTTAACTCGTTGTTTATACGAAATTTAAAATAAATTTCCCCTTCAGTTCTCATTATATTTGATATGTTTAGTATATGACACATTATTCATTATACATATGGTCACTAGTCTAGACAAGCCAACCAAACTAATATTTTGTTCAAACTCGACTCATTGGTTTTAAAATTGAACTAGCTTAGTGCATTTCAACCGCACTTAAATGAGCTTCAATACGAGTCAATCTCAAACTATTAATGAACAGTTCTATCAAACTCGAATAATAAAGGAAAAAGCTTACAACGCGCAGTTGATGCGTCGAGAGACTGGGAAATCAATCTTGACACCACACTTATCAGGAAGTGCCTGGGCTGCTTCGTCCCTCAAATTTGAGTACTTATTCGCAGCTTCCTTCATGCAATTGCACTCATCCCTCTTGTCCTCCGGCTTCTGGGCCATCTCTTTGATGCTCCTGACGCCATTGCAGCACAAAGTTGAAGGTTCACCACCTTGAGTGAGGTAGGAGACACATGGGGCTAAAGCAGAATCAACTTGCTCACATGTGATCACAGCCTGTCCTGGCTCAACCATGAGCTGAATGAAAGCTAAAATCACGAAAACCGATGCAATAATCGACTTCATTTGATCTCGTTTGGGATTGAAGTTAGCAGTGGGATTTTGGATTTTTTTTT